TTTGTAGAAAAATGTCTGTTTTACGTAAGAATATCTTGAAAAAATATCTAAAAACAAAAAAATCAAAAATTGACCAAAAACAAATTCACTTCCGGTTCGGACAGGAAGTACTGGAAACACACGAAAACAACTTCAAAACAAATAGAATATCATGATCTAATACTGCTGTAAATTTCATATCTTTACCTCAAACCGTTTCCAAGAAAACTGCCGGACAAAAGTCCATTTTAAAATTTGAAAATCGGCCATAACTTCGGACCGGAAGTAAATTTTTCATAAAACGGAATTTTATATAAACTTCATATATCAACCTACTTACATGAGAAAAATTGTGAAAATCTATCCAGCCATCTCTGAGTAATCGCGCTCACAAAATTTGGGAGGAATAATAATAATAATAATAAAAAGAAACAATACAAACACTATAAGTCTTCCGTTGTGAACGGAAGACTTAATAATAAGAAACAGAGTAAAAACAATATGTTCCCCAACTTCGTTTGGGGAACATAATAAAGGTAGATTGAGGCTATACAGAGGTAACTCGGGTCGCCATTCCACACCGATACCCATGACAATAAAGCAGTCAGGTGTAACGAATACGACGAGAATACCCTAGTGTTGATGTATCGTAGATAATGATATCGAAAATGGTGTATGCCTATTTCCAAGTTGTGTTCAGCTTTAATTGAAACATCTGAAAGACAAGTGGAAAGCTTTTAATGTGGCATCAAACCAGGTTTTCTTTGTGTGACCACTGAACAAAGTGGAATTTCTCTACAAAATTATAAACGTTATGAATTTTACACTTTTAAACCAGTGACCTTGAACTTGCTGTAATAACCTGGTCACATCCTCGGGTCATATATAATCTCTGAACCAAGTATGAGCTTCCAATATTTCTCTTAAACACAGTTAAAAACCAGGAAAAAAATTCTATACTTTCTGTCAGTGTCTTTGAACTTGAAAGAAAGACCTTGGGTCAAGGTCATGACACACTATCAGGTTCTCAGCAATTATCTCCATACAGAGTACAATGTATGGATTTCTCCTGCAGAATTAAAAATAGTTCCAATTTTGAAAACTGGAGGAGAAGTTATCCAGACAAGTGGGTAAAATATATGCACTATTTTGTTAAAAAAAAGATTTAGTTTAAAAGCTGGAATTTATCCCTGAAAAATATAGGTCATTCAGGACATTTTGGGCATACAAAAAGCAACATCTCTGTCACAACTGACCTCAAGTTGTGATGGATTCGTTAAATCAGAATTTACAAACCAAAATAAATAATATTTTGTAAGACCTCCTGTATACCAAGAAACAACAAGATTTATAAAAATTAACAATAAATTTATCTACATATGTACAATAAATATCAAATCGGCCAAAAGTTCAATCACTGGACAGATTCACACTTCACACCACGTCGCAATGTATGGTCCACCATATTGTCCCTTCCGGTCCACCATATCCCAAAAGTATCCTCACCATGTACACCAATCCTCCCGTCCAGAACAAAAGCTTAATATACAATTTTGGTCACCTACAATTTTCATAGGGTTTTCTAATAAAATGTTCGAAACACATATCTGTTCAATATACTAGATTTTACAAACAAATAACGAAAGAAAACATGTATTTGCCGTTTAACAAGTAAATGAATTAGAGCGTAAATATCTATATTCTCGCTATATTGCTAACAGTTTTACAAAGAAAATTGCTCTTTAAAGCTAACAACAAAAATATTGTAAAGTATAAAAACTTACTGAGCTGTGGCATTTTATACATAAAAACCATACTGTCGGCCCCCAGGTCTTGCTCTCAATGCCGCTACAAAACATCCCTGAATCCCAAGATCACACAGCAGGGGAAACAGCTAAAACACACCCAAATTCACACAGCATGGGTTATATAAAGGCACACCCAAGATCACTAAGCATGGGTAAAGTATAACTCACGGCGTCCAGACCTCATCTGACACACACTACACCCCTACTAATGTGTTCGGAACCTTTTATTTTTCGGTGTTCTGCAAATTATAAAACCCGATGAGTTCAGAGTAGCTCTGGCAGTGGCTCTGGCGAGAGTTAGCGAGACTTCAGCGAGATAGGGTAAATTATTCACGGAAATGTGCCTAGGAAGTGACTAGCACGTGGAGGCATGGTAAACAGAAAAGTTATGTTGCGTTTCAGTGTTCACCACCCCTAGAATCAGCTGATAATGTCTGTAGATATGTATTTCAATCAATCGATCTCTTTAACACTCATTCAAACTTAAATAAGTATTCTCTATAATACAATTTTCTGCAGTCATGAATTAAAGTTTCTTTTTGGACAAATATTTTTGCATGGGAACCGGGACTATATTTTTTGGCGTCAGATTAGAAAATGAGGCACCAGCATGGTTTTAACTGACCAATCAACTGAATGAGTATTGCATTATGGGCTACTACGAATACTACAGGAATTTTACGCTTGAAATAAGAAAAAAATCTTATTGTAAATGAAAAGTATTTTTTAAAATATTATTTTCAAAATCATCATGACAAACAATTCATTTATTAAATAAACGGCGGAAGTCTAGGTTTCTGAAATCATACTGCAAAAGCGATTTGCGTCAGTATTAATTCCTTTGTTGTACTATCGGTGAATACAATTGCCAGGTGAATTCCCTGATCAAACACGTGATCACGAACGTAAACAAAGTTTTGTCCATTTAAATGCATAAGAGAAGCTGTTCGTTTTCCTTACCCTTGAAGCGCTGGTGTTTTGAACTAGACACAAACTACAATGTACATCTTATTAAACATTTTTCCATTTAACAACAAATCAAAAACGCCTGTAACATCTTTCATAGTTTCTTATCTTTGTATTTTGTTCGTATGAACATTTTTTTTTATTTTGCAGTCCATTAACATAGATTGGCGTGAACTACGTGTTCGAAGTTAAAATGTAAACATGTATTTGGCGTTAAAATTGCTATGCATTCAACGATTGGCCAGTTGCTCGTGATAAGATCCTCTATGCGCATTTATAACAATAACCATATAAGGCAAACAAAGGTTTGTTAGTGTAGATGATAATGCACATTTTTACCAGCGCATCGATCACTAGTGAGCTCTAATTTTCGCCGAAAAGTATAAGAAATATTATTATTTTAACACCCCCTCCTTTACCCACCCTTTTCCTGTTGAAAATCATGAAAGTCTTTCAGAAAGGTCTGGAAACATTTGTTACAGGATATGTTTTCAAAAGAAACAGGCTATAGCAATATCGTGTTTACTGCCAATTTTATTTATAAAACCGGTTCTATCCTATAACCTTTGAATAGATCAACCTAAACCACGTGTCTTGAATTTAAATCACAATAACATTAGTAGGGGTGACTAGCCAACACCCAGTATAAATAACTGACCAAACTACTCAAACGGGTTCGACGAGTATACGTAGATAAAAATAGAACAAATACAACTCAGTGACCAATAGTGCGTAAATGAAATAAACGATAACTCCTAATGCCAAAATAAAGATAACTCTCACCGATATACAATGTACAATAAGCTAATATCAAACATTGACACAATGTCACTTGTGACAATCTCTTTACAGCTGTAAGCCATTGCCGAGACCATTTTATGTGCAGCATTTAAGCTAACTGATCTTGTTCATATATATCCAAAACAAGAGGCCCAGGGGCCACATCGCTCACCTGAGCAATTGGCTAGGAAAAAGCACGTCAGATCAGAATTGAAAGTTTACTGAGGTATGGTGGGGGGGGGGGGGTGCTTGAATTTTAACCCCCCAGGGCATCATGATTTGAACAAACTAGAATCTACATTACCTGAGGATGATTCCCTATAAATATCATTAAGCATGGCTTTGAAGTACTTGAAAAGAAGATTTTAAAAGGTTTCCCTATATATTCCTATGTAAAACTTTTATAAGCCATTTGGCCCCACCCTACCCCCGGGGGTCATGATTTGAACAAACTTGAATCTACACTACCTGGGGATGATTCCACATGAGTTTCATCTTTCCTGGCCCAGTGGTTCTTGAGAACAAGATTTTTAAAGATTTTCCCTTAATATATTCCTTTGTAAAACTGATTGGCCATTTTGGCCCCACCCTACCCCCGGGGTCATGATTTGAACAAACTTGAATCTACACTACCTGAGGATGATTCCACAGGAGTCTCATCTTTCCTGTCTCAATGGTTCTTGAGAAGAAGATTTTTAAAGATTTTTCCTACATATTCCTATGTAAAACTTTGATCGGCCATTTTGGCCCCACCCTAGCCCCGGGAGTCATGATTTGAACAAATTTGTATATACACTTAGTCTACCTGAAGATGATTCCACAGGAGTTTCATTTTTCCTGGCCTAGTGAGTCTTGAGAAGAAGATTTTTAAAGAGTTTTCCTATATATTTCTATGTAAAACGTTGATCGGCCATTTTGGCCCCACCCTAGCCCCGGGGGTCATGATTTGAACAAACTTGAATCTACACTACCTGAGGATGATTCCACAGGAGTTTCATCTTTCCTGTCTCAATGGTTCTTGAGAAGAAGATTTTTAAAGATTTTTCCTACATATTCCTACGTAAAACTTTGATCAGCTATTTTGGCCCCACCCTACCCCCAGGGGTCATATTTGAACAAACTTGAATCTACACTACCTGAGGATGATTCCACATGAGTTTCATCTTTCCTGACCTTATGGTTCTTGAGAGGAAGTTTTTTTAAAAATGCCATTAATTTTTCTCTAATTCATAATTATCTCCCCTTGGAAAAGGGCATGGCCCTTCATTTGAACAAATTTGAATCCCCTTTACCCAAGGATACTTTGTAGCAAGTTGGTTGAAATTGGCCCAGTGGTTCTTGAGAAGAAGATGAAAATGTGAAAAGTTTACGATGACGACAACAACGACAGACAACGGACAAATTTTGATCAGAAAAGCTCACTTGAGCCTTCGGCTCAGGTGAGCTAAAAACAAAAGAAAAGAAACACTGAATTCCTATTCTTTTAATGGGAAAGATACTGTCTCATTCTGACATAATTGTTAGGTATTCTTTTAGTCTCTTTAACTTGATCAGAGCCCCCTAAGTTGTCCCTGTCATTTTCTTGAACACATTCATCTGATAAATGTTTACTTTTGTGTGAGAGAGAACTGCATTTTTCATTTGATTTTTGGGGATGTTGACAGCTTTTATCCACCTGATCTGATGAATCACTCATTTCTTTTGTTATGTTGTGATATGTCGCACAGATAGCAGTCAACTTGTGGGATGGATCACAGATTTCACTGTTGGCAGAGTTCTCTTTATGGGGTGGATCACAGATTTCAGTGACAGTACAGTTCTCTTTGAGTGGTGGATCACAGATTTCAGTGAGGGTACAGCCCTCCTCCTTTGTGGGCTGTTCTGCCTGTGTTACCCTCTGCTGGTCCAGGAGTGATTTGGCCCACAGTAGATCCTCCTTCCAGAGTTCCTCATCATCAGGGTACAGGTGAACGGCCCGAGAAAAACTCTTAACTGCCTGAAACCCAGATTACTAAGAAAAAGTATTTCTTAAATGGCATATTTTATCTGAAAATCGTATCATGTGACCAAATTTTATCCTGACAAAAAAGACAAAAAAAGAAAAAGAGGCCCCTGTGTTAATTTAAAATCCTGCTTTTTTCATCAGCAGATGATTCTAGTCCTACATTTACTTTTACAACTATAATATTACACCAGTACAAGTGTACTTACCATTGCGACATCTCCCAGACCCAGCTGTGCCCGCCCCAGAGTCTGGTGCCCCACCCACCACAACGGATTGACCTCTGTACACTTTACAGCAGCTTGGACTGCTGGGTAAACCTCATTCAGGAGCAGGTAACTCTGTCATGATAAAGAGAGGAATGTTTCTTGTGTATATATAGGCATTGCTAGCAAGGGTTCCACATTGAAATAAATATTTTCAACTTAAATGCAACAGCTTCCTTCATGAATAAAGATTTCAAACCTCTATAGAATATTTTTTTCATTGATTTTGAGTTAGTGTACAGACCTGAGCCCTCATTTCATGGAGAGCTTCATCGTCGGGATTAAGTCCTAGCGCTTCCTCCCACTTAGAAATAGCCTCCCAGTACCTACAAACAAAAACTGACATTTGTAATCAGGTTTAGTTTAGTACAAGCAAGCATCTTTAAAAAAAAATGTGGTACATGTACATTCATTAATTACTTCTTTTATCATGCTATTTTAGAATTTTCTTAATATACCAATAATAAATCAGTGTCAGTGCATCATTCTGTGTCAGTCCGTCTGTAGAGGTGTCTAGTTCTTGCAGCTATGGGTATATTGGATATTAGAAGGCAGAGTAATATGTCATCTAATTATGATACAGAGCATGTCATTTAAGTCTAGTTTTAAGGCAGCAACAAGTGTTGAGTGACTCTATATCTGTAACGCTTAACTAGCTCGTGATATCTCTTATGTGCATAAGGTTTGACTCTTCTTTGGATCTGTGCGTACCATGCTTCACCCTACCTTTCTGATTCGGCCAGGAGACTTCCTTCCTGTTTCAGACGTTCACTTTTTGCCCGACTGTCCTCCAGACAGATGACCTTCCTCTTTGGTGTCAAGGTCAGCCAGTCCACTTCCTCCAGGTTGTCATGGTGATCTCTGCTGTCGTCCTGGAAACTCTCAGACAATTTTTTGGACACATTCCCTCCAAGTTTCCTCTTCCATCCAAATGATGTCATGTCAACTGTAACAGGTAAAGGAAAACTCCATTTGAAAGATTTTCAAAACAAGCATGATTTAAAACTATAATCAGAAGAGACAGACGGGTGTTAAAATTATGAGGGGTTTAATATCATTCCAGAAGAGTCTTGTGTTTAACTGGTGATAAACGTAAACTATCCGTGTAGCCTATGTAGACATTTTATCAACCGATCAAATTGATTTCATGATAATTTCAAATAATAAGCTTCTTTTTCTGGTGTTTCATATTGCTTTAAACATATATTTACCAATCAGCGCCTATATGCAGCCAGCATTATTTATTTGCTATAGCCTAAATACTTGCAAAATTACACAGTCACACAGGTCACAATGTGATCTGCAATGTATTCAGCTGGTGAGAAACCAAGCATGTGATATTTATTTTGATTAGTATATTATGATTCTAAAGAACATACTCACAACATCTAAATTCAAAGATCAAATCAAGGGGGCATCCTTTCTCTTAGTCTTCAAATCCTCAAACGTTACAAATGAAATGTTTATTTTCAACTCTCTACTTTCACTTTCGTATTCTATGTAAACAAAACTTTTCATAAGATAACATGTAAACCTAGATGCTAACAATAATTCAGCTGATTCATGAAATAAGATAAAAAATAAATAACAATACAGCTTCATCATCAGTGTTATATGAAATTTGATAGGTTTATTCTTTGGACGACTTGTCGAAAATTATTATCCGGAAGTGACGCAATTTTGAAAACATTTTGAATTTTCTTTATTTTGGAATTTGACAGCAGGTGTTTCATGCGTGAGATTTACTTTTAGGGTCAATGTAGTTATTAAATATAATAAGTAATTAAAATATTTTCATTTATTTTATAATATCTTTCTAATTTATTTGTCTTCATGGACAAATTCAGGTTTATTTTGAATGAATTGATAAATAATTTTTCAAATTAATTCGCCTGATCAGGGACATATATAACTAGTATATAGGTCCCTGACTCCCTGCTGTGAGTAATTGCTCAGTGCTGTAAATTTTATTTTCACTTTTTTAAGTGTCATTATAATATGTGTGGAAATATTTATTTATTCATATTTTTAAAGGAAAATACAAACATGGAAAGGCTTCAATGTACACTGACTGTAGAAGAGCTTTCAAAATCTGGAGATGTGCAGAAATCCAGCGTTCACAAAAACATTTTCATCTCAGTGGGACGCAATGAATTCAGAGATGTTGTACTTAAGGTGGAACTTCAGAGGAAAGATTTAAAGTTTTCACTCAGAGAATTAAGAATTCACAAAAAGTTTGCAAAAGATGGAAAATCAACAATCAGAATCCCCGATAAAAACATGAACTTGTTAATTAGTAATTGTCCACCAGATAAGTTGATATATTTCCTAAAGTTGCTAAGTACCAAGTTTGAATGTGGACGGCTGAAAGGTTTTATTTCTGAGAGAAAGAAACTTCTGTCTGATGTGCCAAAGGCATTCGAAGAAATCAGCCCACTTACCGTCAAGGACTTAAAAACTGTCCATGAGGCCAGAGCTAAAGAATTAGAATCAAAACCTGACATTTTTACACCAAAAGGCAAAAGTGTTGGGAAAAGGAAAAGATCATTGGAGGATGACAAAGAAAACAGACCTGTCCAGAAAAGTAAGCTCATGTGCAGCAGTCTAAATCCGTCAGCCATTGCAGTGCCTGTCAAACTCAGTAAAGAACAAAATACAATACTGGATGCTGTACTCCAAGGAAAGAATGTGTTTTTCACTGGAAGTGCAGGGACAGGGAAGTCTTTCCTGATGAGGAGAATAATTGGTAAATTATTTATAACCAACTAATCACTTAATGATCAAGTTTACAGTATAGCATGGTAATGGTTTATTACAAGGATATATATGTCTACAATTTGAAATCACATCAAAGTAATAAGTTACATTTTTGAATACAAATTTAAATGTTAATCAGTATAAGGAGACCCTTCTACTTTCTATTGTAGGTTCTCTCCCACCCCAGCACACATTCGCCACGGCCAGCACTGGAGTGGCTGCTTGTCACATCGGGGGAACCACATTACACGCCTTCGCAGGTTTGTAGATTACAGAACAATGCCAAGATACTGGCAACTTAAGATAAGAGGTTAGATCAAAGAACAGAAAAAGATTTTTATTGATTTAAATTTGATTACCATTAGTATCAAGTAGTAATTCTTATAATATCTTGAATATAAACTCATATATAATGTGTTGCTTATTCATCATGTTTAAAGAGTAAAGACAGCAGCGTTTCAAATATTAGATGTAAAAATTGATAGGTATTGTAGAGTACAAACATATACTTTACAATCTTCAATTAAAGTGAAATCTTATAATTTTATTTTAACAAACTACGTTTATCAGTAATATTGCTCAATAAAGTGTAATACATGTACAGTACATATTTTTTGATGCCCTTCATAAACATTTTCATGTCAAAACCTAAAGAATAAAGTTACACATATTCTTCATGATTCAAAATTTTGCTGTGATTTTCCATAGGCATTGGTTCTGGCTCGGCCCCTCTAGAGCAGTGTGTACAGTTAGCCTCGAGACCACAGATTGCTCAGCAGTGGAGGAAGTGTCACCATCTTGTTATTGACGAAATCTCAATGGTGGATGGATCATTGTTTGATAAACTCGAGACAATCGCTCGGTAAGACTGGTGGAAATAAGAAGTCAACATATGTCGGGCATATTCTAAGCAATAGAGGCACACAGAATCAGGGTTTGGGAATTTTTTCAGATCTTCTCTCTTTATTTTCTTTGGGGGGAGGGGATATTTTTTATGTAATTTGTATATTGTAATATAATTTACTTAAGATTGATAAAAACACTGAGCTCTGGTCTGGACTGATGAGGAAGTTTTTGTATGAATATGTTTGTTTTGATTACAGAGTGGTCAGGAAGAATGATAATCCTTTTGGGGGAATTCAGCTGATTATCTGTGGGGACTTTCTACAGCTGCCTCCTGTCACCAAGGGAACAGACAAAAAGACATTTTGCTTTCAGGTAGGTCAGAGGTCATACTCTGTAACAGCTCTCAGTGCAGGCATCAATGATCGTGGACCAATGTATTAAAAATTTATGAAAATTACATATTACTAAAACATCCTGTGGACTTAGTTCTGCTTGGACTGAAATGTTTATCATTCTACCCCAAAAAAAGTTTTCCTTAATTTTCGAAACATTTTTCAGATCTGTTTACCCCATCAAGCTCACTGAAAAGATAATATGTGCTAAAAATAAAATGCATAATTATTTTTTATTGTAGGCAAAATCCTGGTCTAAGTGCATTCAGGTCAACATGGAACTGAAGGAAGTGCGTCGTCAGAATGATTTGTCTTTCATCAACATTCTACAGAATGTCCGCCTTGGAAAGTAAGAGCTGCTTAAAGACGATTATTGTGTGTATTGTTAAAATGACTTTAGAAACATTTTAAGTAATTTTGAAAATATACTGTAAACCAACTTTTATTTGTGTGCGAGAAAGTCATTGACTCTCTATTAGCGAGACAAAATTTTCACGAATTGTGGTCATTGCCTCTATATAATCTTAACAACAGATCCAATGAAGGCTTGATTGCAAAATTTAATCGTCACGAACTAGTTTACCCTAGGTAAATCGCTTTTGGATTTCTGTAATTCATCATGGACAGGTTTTTAACAAAATATATTAAATTCGAAAATACCAATGACAGAAAAGAAAGCCTGATGTAAATTCATCAGAACTACAAAGGCTAGGTTCAGTATCACATTTCTGTTGATAACCAGGTGTAGTGAGGAAACTTACCAAGTACTGAGAGAGACCGCACAAAACAACATTCAAAAGAATGGTATCCTAGCAACCAGACTGTGTACCCATAAAGAAGATGTCAACAAAATCAACCTGTACCATCTGGGTAAACTACAGGGTAGGTCAAATTTTTTATACTTAACTACAGGATGTTTCAAAATTCTTGTACAAAACTACAGAGTATGTCAAGTCAACTGGTACCATCTGGGTAAACTACAGGATATGTCAAAATTCTTGTACTAAAGTACAGGGTATGTCAAGTCAACACACCAGGATTTTGTGTTGTTGATTTCAAGGGATAACCATCATAGCTCTATAATGCTGGACTACTTTGCCTTACATTGTGTTGATGATTTCAGGAGATAACTAACTCTATAATGCTGGATTCCTTTGCCTTACATTGTGATTATGATTTCAGGTGACGAGAAGACATTTGTAGCTCTGGATGGAGATGAAGTTTATCAAAATCAGCTTGAAGTTCTCTCTCCTGTCCCAAAGAAACTCATCCTTAAAGTTGGTGCTCAGGTATAAAGTAAACCTTTTCCTATCAGTTGGTTTTATTTTTTTTGTTTTCAAGCGGTTTTGTATGACGATTATTATAAAATAATATCGCAATATTTGTCTCAACTATTTGTTTTGTGTCGATATTTTGACAAGAAAACAACATGTATATTGAATATCTATGAGATGCAATGTCTGGTTCAAATAAACACAAACACATAACACTCAGGATTCAATGCATTAAAGATTATTAACACCCCGATCTCCATTACTATTTGTTTCAGACCAAGTATTATTTCATCAAAATCTTAAGTATCAAAAATAAATTAATTGCATAGCGTATACTAAATATTTTCCACATTAACAATGCAACATTTCAAGTTACTATTAGGCTGTGGTTTAAAAGATAAACCATAAAAGGTGAGATCAAAAATATAAATAACTCCTAATACAAGGAAAATATACACATCTTATTTAAAAATACAAACATTTTCCTAAATCGTACAAACTATTTTTAAAAATCGTACTAACGGTTTCTTAAATTGTTCAAACGATTTTTAAAAATCGTACAAACTATTTTAAAAAATCGTATAAACGATTTAATAATTTGTACAAACGATTTAATAAACAAATTGTACAAACGATTTATTAAATTGTACAAACGATTTGTTAAATTGTACAAACGATTTATTAAATCGTACAAACGATTTAAAAAAAAAATTCTACATTGTTAAAATGGCACGAATATGCCGTTGTAGTTTTGTAAATGTTTAATTATTTTCTTGATAAAGAATGCAGGAAATTTTTAGACTAAGTCTCTGTAACCCAGTAGCTTAAACTTTTCATGGAAATGAACGCTATAATTGTATAGGAGTACAATGAGAGGTAAGTAAAAAAAAAATCTACTATATCTGTGGTTCAGATTTGACATTATCACATTTTAGGTGATGTTGGCCAAAAATCTGGAGGTTCAGAGGGGACTGGTGAATGGAGCTCGGGGGGTCGTTGTTGGATTTGATAAAAAGAACCAAGGTACGTAGGTCGAACCAAATAATGTCACTCTTATCAGGGCTACTTTTGTCAAATAATCTTTATCTCTGATATTATATTCAAAGTACTAGTATATAGAAAATTTTAATGTTTCTATTGCATGCATTATTCATTTATAAATAAAAATTATAACATAAGCAAGACTCCTTATTGAGTTAATATACAAGTGTGTATTTTTACAACAACAGATTATCCTGTGGTGAAGTTTGTTTCTGGAGAAGAGGAAGTGATATGGCCAGTAAGATGGACGTTCAAGTTGTCTGGAACAGTTTACATCAACAGAAAACAGCTTCCTCTCAAGTTGGCATGGGCCATATCCATACACAAGTCACAGGTATGTTTTATATATCAATACACAAATCTCAAGTGAGTTCACAATATCCAAACACAAGTCTCAGATGAGTTCACAATATTCATTCTAAAATCTCAAGCAAGTTCACATTATTTATACACACATCTCACATGACTTTATAATATCTCTGCACAAATCTCAGGTGAATTCTCAATATTCATACAAAATACATGTTTAAAAAATGTGCATTTGCTTTACATACCTTATTGAAAAAAAGATATTTAAAATTGATCATTGTCCAAACTTGAGAACCCAACATGCCTTTTGAAATGGGGGGGGGGGGGGTGTTAAACATATACCCCAGTCTTCAAAGCCATGTGAGCATTGAAACCTATGTGTCTCCTATTTCTGGTTTCAGGGGATGACACTGGATTGTGTGGAGATGTCTCTGTCTAAAGTGTTTGAGGCTGGACAGACGTACGTAGCCCTGTCCCGCGCCAAGAGTCTGCAGGGATTGAGGATACTGGACTTCGACCGATCCTGTGTCCATGCTAATTCAGATGTCCTCAGGTTCTATCACAAACTGGAACTGACCCGGAAAATGATGCAGACAACTATAGGTGACTGTTGTTGAACTCAAGTGATACAGACCATTATTAATTAGGTGACTGTTAAGTCTGCTACAAGTGATAAATATATACCATTAGGTGATTGTTGGTGAAGTCTCTATCAGAATGAAGGTGACTGTTGGTCTAAGTACAAATTTTTGACAAGTCTCATGGTGCAGAAACAGTATTAGATGAGAGACCAGCATGCATTATGTTCATGTGTAAATTGTGAAATATATTAACATGACAAATACATGTATTTCTGATCTCAGATATATTGTAGTCTGTCATTGAAATAGCCCTTTACAAACTTACCGTTAAATATCATGACAAGCTTACTGCAGATAATGGGAAACTAGTTCTGATCATTTCTACAGTGTTTATATGAGAAATTAATGCATCACACAAAATTTTAGGTTTGTGACTTTCCTGTTCCAACTCCTAGTCTAAACTGGGAATGTCTTTATTATAGAATACATAATTTATTTCTTATATTGATACATGTCAATGCAGAATTGTGGTATGATTTATAGAAGTAATTTAACATGGTGAAAATATATGTTTTTATTTTTTACAATATTTTTTTATTGCATGACAAAAATCATAAAATAAATCCATAAAACACACACTAAATATTCTCTGTTTTATAACATTTCTATAGTATGACATAAAAACGTTTTATGAATGCTGAATTTTTAATGGCGATTCATTTATAGCTGGGGTTCATAAAATATTCTGATATTACTACATTGTTTACTTTCACACGCAGTCTGCAATGGTTAGTGACCGTAGGATCTCTAGCTGACGTTGTGGGAATTATCTCCCTTAGGTTTTTTATTCTGGTCACGTTCTGAGATTCTCATGTGTCAGGGTTCTTTGGTAAAGTGCACGCGGTCGTCTTCGGCCTCGAGTAAGAGGGCGTGGTCACCACTCTCTTCTCTCAGCTGTTCCATCTCTACCGGAAGTGACACATTAGCATCCCGGAGACGTTTACAGCAGCACTTACAGAAGCTTTGACAGCAAAGCTTCCTCATGGCCTTGCGCACTTGTCTTATAAACAGAAAAAAGAATCCCGTGTTGACAAAGCCCTGTATGTTGTCACACACAACCTGCAATAAAAACGGTATTCTCAAACATGCTATCTCAGTATCTCACATATCGTACCATGTTACGACGGATGCAGAAAAAATAATTTGAGTATAGTCTTACAACAGTTAACTTGTTGAAAGAAAATATTTTCAAGCAAAACAAATGAAAAGGCCATACAAAGAGTAGAGTTCACAATTTTCTAGCTCACAGCACGATCTGAGAATTTTTTGCCATCATAGTAAATGTAGTTTATCAAATTTAATCTTAATTCTTTTTCATAATTTATTTTCTCAAAATAACAAAGTTCATTGTAATGTTGCACGTTCATATTTCAGCACATTATAGGTACTATATACCGGTCAATTTTGTCACCGTTTGTTTTGGATTTTACCTCCAGTCCCACCATAACGTCCACGTCATTACGATACTGTGAGATCAGGTAGTGCCAGCCTCCCCAGATATTCATCAGAACAAAGACCATCAATAGATGGCGCAGTTGTCGATTAGGATTTTCCGCGGGCTTCTGATGCTCTTCCCCCTCCTGTCGCCTCTCCGGCTGCTGTGGTTTTGGCTAATAATATAAATTGCACTGAAATTGTCCATTTAAACATGAATAACAATACAGATGGGGCACAATTTACTAGTTGGCAATCCAGTTGTCCTGTAAATTTTGAATTTATTGCCATCCTGGTAAATTAAAAATTTACAATAAGACACAATTACTGCGGCATTGTCGCATTGTTTTTTAACAACACAACAAAGAACCCCAAAAGAAATAGTTTTTTTTTCGAAAATTTTGTTTGATAGTCCACAGCCTGATGGGAATTTGTCTCTATAGGAATTTTCCGATGGATCCATTCACCACTACAATTCAGAACCACACTGACGACGAAAGATCGAACATTCCATTTTTGTGTAAAGAGAATTTCAAATATAATAAGATTTTTGCCTTGTACTTACTGTTTTCAATTTGAGTGACTTGAACTGTAGCAGAACGTAAACTATGGAGCAGAAGATGAGGGCCGCCATGCGCCATCCCATTCCCGCCAAAATGGCGAACGTGTTGTAGTCGGAGATCTGGCGGTCCACCAAACACCAGGGCGGCCGCACGTGCCCGGGCTTACTTCCGATGTCTGATCCCAATACATCAAGCGCCACCAGCGTGGCCATGATGGCCGCTAATAAAAGAAGAACAGAAGACCAAGTTTGCTTATTCGACCAACTGATGGTGAAAAAATAATTTCGGAAACTTTACAAAAGAATGGTGTCAGAGTTTTATTTGAATTTTACGTGTGTGTAATTAGGAAAGTCTTCAATAATGTCCGTTACGAAGACACAGTTTCGCTTACTTGGAAATCCCCAGCAGATGCAGTGTGCAGGCCACGTCATGGACGGAGCGATTGACAATTTTTTCTTCCATGTCTCGAAACAAAGATGGAGAGCCAGCGTGGAGGTCCATAGGTAGCCACTGATCTGGAACAAAACTCTTATGGCGGCTGCTGACTCGCAGACCGGATGTGATCTCCACGACACTTCCGGATAACCTAGTTTGACAGCCACTGACATCAAGGTGCCGATACTAGCGCCTGCGTTCGATATCACGATACATAGAACGATGTATCGTGCCCTGTTCCTAATGGCGGGAATACAGCAGAAGGCGACGAACAGCGTCAGGCACGCGAGCAATGACGTTAATGACGTCAGCAGTCCCAAACCGAGGTACAGCTTGTCCACAGGTTCCATCGCCATAAAGGCCGTGAGATTCATTTGAAACATGATTTAAGAGTTGTGTAAAATGTCTTCCACTCTTAATATGATAACATGGCAATGGACGTATATATGTGCAACGGAAGTGATGATTAACTGATCAACGATCAATTGTAGATTACTGATAACAAGGCCGGGTACATCTTTATCAGTTATATATACGTATTCATTATGGAAGGGGTTCAATTACCTGAGAATGTTTTAATACTACATGTGATTAACAGTGGGTATTTCCAAGTATAATAAATAAGACTTTTAATTATGTTAAAGGCCGAGGTTTTCAACCGTACGGTTTTCCTCAGGTAAATTTGGTGTGGGGTGGAGCTTAATCGAAGCGGCTGAGAAGCCCCGAGGGAACGACGCTGACTTGTGTATACTACCTATATACACAGGATGTTACCTGAGTGTATTACCTGTACTTAGTATGTGTTTTCCAACGACATTGTAAAACGAAGCCGTTTTTTTCCATGTGTAGCATTTTTTTTTTTGCGGGACAGAATCCTTCTAAAATTCTTTCTTTTAAAATTAATATTTTAGATAATTCGACAATTTCAATATACTGCGTGTTTGATAATCAAATGTTATATAATGGAAATACATGTACATGTAGCACAAAAATCTGTCGTAATAATCTGGCGACAAAAAGGGAAGTAATTCATAAATTACACGTCGTGTACGCAAAACGAAAAGAGAAAGTGGGTCATAATTAAGTCTCTCGATAAATAACAATTAAACTTAGAACCATGTTTTGAGAATAAATTGTTCAGAAATATTATCGTCTAAATCAATATTTTTTTAAAGATAAACCCTACGTGATTTACCATAACGCATGGTCTGTAAAAATGGCCAGGGGTTCAGATCGGAGATGATTCCCTGACGGCCTATGGGTGAAACGGGAATGGAAACATCAGCATCATACATTTTTCTTTCGGGATTCATAATTTTAAATATTAATTAAATGCAAAGCAAGATGTTATTATAATCTATTCTAAAACTGGTTAAATATAACGTAACTTCGTCACCATGTCTCGAAGACTTAGCGACATGTACAAATTTGTCGTATAAATAAATATAAATTTCACTTGAACAATGTAAACAGTTACAGTGTTGCCATCCTTGTTTTAAAAAATAATTTTATTTAATTCCATGATACTAGCTTCAAACGCGAGTCGGTTTATTTTGTTAATTATGGAGGAATAACTATGAGTTAACCCATGCTTTGAGAAATTAAAATGAGCGATTGTCATTGTGAATGAAATGAAATTCCCCTATCAAAATTGAAATTATAAAATATAGGCATTATTTTTTTTATCATTTATTTAATTATTTGATGGATTAATTATACTTATGCCATATTCTTATGAATTAAACAAGAACGCTTTGCCTGCTTCTTTATCACGTTGGCATATGCGGTAGGCATCAAAAGCCTGAATGTTAATTCGATGGTCGGTACGATCTTCAGACAAGGTACACAGGATATACACAACGACAGCAAACTAAATGTCAATCAAATCAAAGTATCCAATCCCAGGCTTAATTTCAGATGATTGACAGGGGTTTAATTATTTCCTCCCCCTTTATTCTTGCACATCTGATAAATTCGGATTTAATTTATTACCGTATACGTGTACACACGTATAATTTTTTATGCCCCCGTATTCGAAGATTCGGGGATATATAGTGTTGCACTGTCCGTCTGTCTGTCTAGTTGTCTGTCTGCAAACAATTTAACCTTGTCCATAACGTTTAATTGAATGAGTGGGCTTTGGCTTTCCTATTTTACAGGTGTATTACTTGTAATAGGACCTTTCTTTGGGTACCACAAATTTGACCTTGGAGTTTGACACCCCCCCCCCCCAATCCAACTTTAAACTTAATTGGTCATAACTTAATTTTGAACAGTTAGTACTACATGTATGGCTTCATTATTTCACAGGGTTATTCCTTGTGATAAGATATTTCTTTGGATGCCAGCAATTTTAACCCTATCCTTTGATTTCGACTTGCATTTGAAAATTTTCAACCCTCGCCTTAAACTTCCACGCGGAGGCACCCGTGTTTCATAAACGCATCTTGTTACCAGTTGGTTAAACGTTATATTCAAAAGGATATAAAGGAAAGGTGCAAATATCATTCGTATACCCTCCTTCCTCCTTCTCAGCTGTCTCATTTTCAAAGATCTGTCCACAAAGAATCCTAAAACAAACAAAAATGTTTCGTCTTAATGTGCATGCAAGTTAAATTGACTTAAATATGTTGTTTTCCAGTTTTAACATGTATTTATATAGCAACATTTGTGTTCTCTGGAATCTTAACGAATCTTTTCAGTTATGATTCACTACTTAATTATAATTATCTGTAACATAAACAGGACAACTAACCACACAATCTGTCTAAATACCACACTCTGTTTACAATCTCCAATGTAAAATTTATTTCATTTGTTTTCCTTCTTGCTACGATCCCTAAGCCACAAAACTTGTTATTTTTATAAAAGCGGAATGTGGCATTGTCCTTAAAGGCAATGAGCTGCCTTCCCAAAATAGTGTGCATATAAAAGATGTACTAGTACACGATAAATATTTTTTTAAGAAATATTTTATATGAGGTATAAACGTGGTGTAGGCTCTTCTTCTTACGTCTATTCATTATGCTGTCCTTTCAAAAAAAATGTAAGTTAACACAAAAACACACCAAACAAAGACGCAGAAAAAACTTTGCACGTATAATACGTCAAATTAATAATTTTTTTTCAATACAGAGGAAATTCAATGTTTTGTTTTTTTTTTTGCGGAAAAGAACCTCGAGTTTTTGATATTTTTACTCCTCATGGCACCTGATCCCACCTCTGATGTTTCGGAGGTCCGTGTTTTCTCTGCTCCTATTTTGTATTGTTTTATGGACTTTTGATCTTGAATACTGTTCGTTATCTCTTTATGTTTCATTTCACAACAAGTGGGGTGGGTCGGAGTCAAATCCCGTTGGGGACTCTCGAACCAGTATTGTCTTTCTTGTACAGGAATGGTTGCTAAACCAAAAGGAAATTGCTGTAAAACGTAAAGGTAACGAACAATTATCAATCTCATAAATCTAGTTTAGAATAGGAACTCTGAAAAGAGCATAAAACATGACCCGTCCAGAGGTGGGATCAGGTGCCTAGGAGGAGTAAGCCTCCCCTGTTGACAGGACACACCCACTATCTGGCCCTGTAATTTATCAGGTATAGACTAGGTAAATTCTAGTCAAATTTACAATGACTTAACAATGTCAGATAAAACTTACCCAGTGAAAGGTTTATTTGTAAATAAGGTAATTATAAGGACCAAAATTTGGAAAAAGATAACGTTAAACTATATGCTGTTGAAATCTTGTAGCATCAACTTATTTGTACGGAACATGGATTGATTTGTTTGTCTTAGTTATACTCAGGGCATGTTTTGTGTATACTGGATAATCATTTGAGAAATATAATCAAAATGTATCTCGTTTATTATACCTTTTATTTTTTTACCTGCATGCTGTTATACTCTATAGCTAGTGAAATACCCATGCATGAAACAGATGTAGCAGACCCTGTGATGTCTTTTGTCGAGCCTGGGATGGTTTAACTAAATAATTGATATTCTTTTCTACAATAAAAGTCAAGTATAGACAAGAAAGTCAAAAGTAATAGTTTTTAATCAATCATTAAGCGCAGTCTGTGACAAATATACAGAAGACCTGGGAGGAAATATCGATATCTCTCGGGACTGTACCACTAACTGTATTACCCTGTCAAGGCCTGTACTGTAATACTCTGTATCTCTCTATTGACTTCGGGATGTCCTCATTACTTCACGCTCGAGGTGGTTCCATGGAATACTGAGAAAATTGACAATGATTTGCGATTTGATCTGTTAGATTTACCCGATCCGATGACAGGCGATATATATCTTTCCTTAAGCTTTCAGAGGATTAAAAGACCCAAAATTCGGTCAGGTCAGCCCGACAAACATGGCTATTTAGACTTGTTATAGAATGACCAATTACACCGAAAACAGAACACGTTGAAACTTTTTTTGAATTTTAAACAAATATTTACATTTTTGATCTTTATTAAAACAAATGAGTGGAATTTGATGAGATCGTAATATTTACCTTGAAGGTTTTTTTTAATTTTAAAATTCTTTAAAATCATTTTGGAAAAAAAATTTAAAACACTTCGAGATATTTAAATGTATAAATGTTGTCATTAAATATAAATAGCTAAACGTTTGCCTATACGTCCTTGAAAAACACTAATTAATTGTAATGCCTCGTGGAATGTGGTAGTAAATTAGTGGGCTGGGGATATTACATAGATAAACCCTTTATCTGGAGTTGATTGTTAATTGTTTGTCCTGAATGTGTAGGACGTCAGGTATTTCGTTACCTCAGGTATGGATCAGTTACCTAAATTACGTACCTGTGTCAATGGTCACGGTCTACTGCGCGCTTACCTGACGGAAGAATGGAATCGCCCGCTTTAGAAATTTCACACACAGATCTCGAGGATCGGAAAAGAACGGATCTCATCCCGGAGTTGAGAAAGTTCATACAAGGGAATATACATTGTTTCGATATTTTGATTGAAGTGTGATTCAGATTCGTGGTAGAAATACTTCTGATGTGTATTAGATTTACATATTTATATTGTGTTTGGTGTCAGGACGTTGTTATGGCCTATTGAATCAGTGATCTCTGTGAACTCAGCGGGGAAATAATGGCAGTCGCCACGGCGGAATCACAATCCGTGGAACGGGGGTACCAACGACTCTCCTCCCTTTTCCGCCCCACCCTGACAGAAGGTAACTCCTGTCACAGGTGTAAAGCACAGGTATACCACGCAGAAAAGATCGGCCCGGTCCACGAAGTAGTGTTCCACAGGAACTGTTTCAAGTGTGTAGTCTGTGGTCAGTTTCTGACCATCAAGAACTATTTCTCCAATCAGACCGATGCCTCGGATCGCGAGGTATACTGTGGGACGCACGTTCCTCGAATCGGGGGGACACACATTGACGAACGAGCCATGGGAATCAAAAACGCCATCAACAGTCAAAATGTCTACAAGAAGATGAGTAAAAAGATGAACTCGGAGGTTCGTCTGGCCGGAACCCTGAGGAAACCTAACTATAATTACGAGGCGGTGGCAATCAAACGTGCCACCACCGTCCCCAAAACCCAGGATTACGTGGCGGAGCGTGCAACAGCTGAATCTCTTCACAAGGGGGTGGATATTGACGCCAATGCTCTGTACATAAAGGGCCCCATAGAGGCGCAACTTCTCCGACAGGGCTACCAGCGCAAACTCGACAAGCATCACTACCCGCCAAATATTGTAAGTATCTCCATCACTACCCGCCAAATATTGAAAGTATCCCCAGAACCACCCCCTCTCCATTTCTATACCAGTCTGATTTTTAGTGATTTATGAACTCCGAACACCCTCCCCGGGCGGCCTCCCACAATTGTCCAGAGTACATTTCTTGCTTACATCTCCCCTTAATCTGTCAAAGTTTTTTGAAATCACAACACATTTTCATGGTTGGTTCGTTGAGGGGGGGGGGTTGTCACGAACATGAACTTGCATTTCTCATAACTTTTTCATTCTATAAAATTTCCCAGCTCACATTATTTAATGCTAGTAAACAGCCACGAGTTCTTTCCTTAGTCGTGGCATGTTTTATTCATGCGTTTCTTATTGATTACCAATACTGTGAATACACTACAATCCAAACAGATCTAATCGGCTTGTGTTTGCCGAGGATTATTGTACATACTGTGTATCAAACCCCGACAAACAAGAGGGTCCCCGGACCCCGATAACTCCCCGGACAACTCGGAGCCGGTCACTCCGAAAGAAAACAGCACAATCAGGCTCAATCGCGATAGCCCTAGTTACTTTCTTGGTGTAATTCCCATGTTATTCATTAGGTAAACTGAAATCATATCTGTATGGGGAATACCTTTATCATAAACAATATATACATAACATCTTTGATGTTTTACATACCGAGCGTGGCTTGACAGGAGGGGATATAATGTGTATTGTACGTCAACACTTTCTTAAGTGGATTTCCAAGTCTTTTGTTAATGAAAAAGTTGATACGGGGCCCATAAAAAGGACTGAAGACTGTTGACATAAGAGAAGTTGTTGAGCAGGTTAGAGTCTATATTTATACCCCCCTGTCACAGGAGAATGGTGGAGCTAATCAGATTTCATGGTCTGAGAAGTCCATTAGAGCTGGACTGTTTTTATCATGGAAATAAACACTTAAAATTAACTCCACAAATGTAGGAAGCGTGGTAAACATGTAAAGTTATTCATTTAATGTTTTTTAAGAGAGAGGGTACACTTATATTTATATTAAAAGTGCAGATGAACTGATTAAAGACCGTTTGTACAGGTGATATTCTAGTACCAGTTTTATTGCAGACAAGAGCAAATATAAATTTTTTAACTTTGTAAAATACAAAGAAATGTGCCATCGTATCCGTCGACTATTCAGACGACTCTCGTCTTCCCACTGTCACACGCGAATGATTTGATTTGTTAAACACATACACAAAACATAGGCTGCATAATTTTTTGTAAATATATACACATAGAATTGGGTTTTACCTTTTTTCGTTGGTTTACACTTTCAAAGTATGCATTTAAGTTTGTAAACTTATATGTTGTTTAACGTCTCTCTCGAGAATTTTCACTCACATGGAGACGCCACCACTTGCCGGTGGAGAGCTGCAAATTTTGTCCTATATTCGTGTCATCCGGATGGCAGTAAATACAAAATTTACAACATGACAAAGTTGTCATTAACGGCCATTGAGCATTGAGTGATCTTTTTCGTGTCTTTGAGATTGGAGCTCGGTTTATACGGTCTCATCCGAAGGGCTGGGTTCCACGTCCCCCAGTGGGATTCGAACCCACGACAAAAGGATCATCTCCTTACTTTCCGACTCTAGAGCGGACGCTCTCACCACTGCGCCACGCAGGTGACTACCAACAGTAAATGTAAGACTTGCGAGAAGGTGGGCGCGGGAAGAGGGGTGGTTCATATGAACATTAAGTTGAAATTATGACCAAAACCTACTCAGTAATTCACTTGAGAACTACAGAAATGTGGATTACATTAAGCCCCTGACTTTGGATTAGCGTGGTGTCTCTGTAATCGTAAGAGATTATCGGAATTACGTGGCCCTTAATGCCACTGTTTGTTTCTCAGGAGTACCCGGTGAACTTCTGTTTTGGAATTAAAGAGCCCCCCTCGTCATTGTATCGAGAAACAGAGAAGTACCCGGCAGTGATTAACGCGGCGATTAGACACACAGTGTTGTCTTAAATGCTGCCGATCTCTTGAAACATCTCTAAAACTCTAGGCAGGAATAAAACCAGGGTGAAGTTTAACAGTGTTTGGAGCATAAGTCGCTTTCATTAAGATAAAAGTTCCAAGTTTTTCATGTGTGTGCTCGCCCAGTCACGATACGGTTCTGTCACCCCCAACAATCGCTTCGGTTAGGAATTCTCAGGTTTCTTTCATTTATTTGGGACAATCACGAATTTCTACTGAAATCCTACAAAAATAAAATAGAGACATTGGAATAAAAAAAATTATCTAGACACATTAAATTAAAACCTTATTTGGGATGTATGAATATTATTAAATCACACAATTAATTTTAACAGCATGTAGATTTCTAATCGTCTGGTTTGTATGTAACTTAAACAAAAGAAACTTGTGTACATGTTCAGAAGGTCATTGTGCCCTAGCGTGTCTGTCACCACCCCAGGGGATGACTGTCGATTTTGGCGCGTAAAATCCCGAGCACGACATCTTTATGACTTTTGGTATTGTATTTTCGTCCCGTAATATCGACATAAAATAGACAGACTACAGATGTCATATTAATAGATATTTTATTGCCTCCGAGTCTTCGACCGGAAATCCCAGAAACTCGTAAACTTTCCAGCTGTATATCACAGTTGTGTGCTAATTAAGATCAAATTATTGATCTTCTATACATGCGCAAAAAAACTCACATACACAAAATAAAACTCATATATGGAAGTAAAATTTTTAAAGAAAATTGTTAAAAAGAAAACTTCTGCTGAAATGGAAGTCTGTATTCACAGGCGCCAACATTCAGGTTAATTCTGTAAACGGATAGGTTTATATTCATTTAAAATACACAAGGTTTATTGTTAATTTTAAATAAGGCCATGTAATCATTCTTTGAAATAGACTGGGAAATTACGATTCTTTCATACTCTGCTCAAGGAAGAATTAAGGTATGAATGAAAATGACGTGTTACCTAAATATACATCAAATCGCTGCATCAGGAATTTTTTATGCCACAAGCCAAAAGGATACATGTAGGACCATAAGGACCAAACCCTGTATTTAGTCCCGTGTTAGGAATCCCCGCACAAACCAAGGTTAAGGTGGGCCATGACATGAAAAACAAAACTATACATTAATACCGGGGATATGTAGCCAAAAACGTGAAGAGAAGACTTCAAACGATATGCCCATGGGTCATTGCACAACGATAAACATTCACATAAAATATGTATACATGTACCTTTAAGACGTGCAATGTTTGTTAATTTTAGAAAATATTGCAGGCATGTGCATTCTAGGATAGCTGCAGTGGAGAAATTCTTCCCAAAAGTACGCAAAAAATATTGCGATGTATATTGCACCTTTTTTGCATTATCGGATCTGTAGCGTTATGGTCAAAGACAAATATATTTTAACCGTAACACTACAGATCTGCAGCTAATTCTAGGATTGCCACCGCCCTGCATACTAGTATAAGAGGATCGAGTTTGAATAATTTAAAAAAAAAATACAGTGTCAATGTTTCCAGCAATATTAAAGAAAATATGCGAAACACAAACACAATATTAATTGAGATTTACAAGAATTCATTTTTCTTTGCATATAGATCTATTTTTCCTGGATATTTGCTATATTTAAAAGTTGATAAAATCTAGCCATTTGAATAGCAGAAATAGTACACAAGTTGTGAAGCTTATTACATAATATAATCCATGCATTATCAATAAAAGTTATTAAAAAAATTATGAATGGATTGAAATTTAATTCAAAGATTGGAAGGTACATTTGTCTGTTAATTCATACACCAAATAAAGTTTGAGCTCACTAAAATTAAAAATAAGCAACATAGATTTTGTTATTTCTCAGTCCTAGTGACTGGTCAGCAGGGGATGATCACTCCTCCATAGCACCTGATCCCACCTCTGATGTTTTGGAGGTCCGTGTTTGCTCTGCTCCTATTTTGTATTGTTTTATGAGCATTTGATTTTACATTTGTTTGTTATTTCCAAAATATCTTTTAATAAGTGTGTGTATGTGTGTGTTAGCATTGCAGTGTAACAATTTATGACAAACTGACGACTCATTACAGAATTTAGACCTGCTTTTACAGGACGTCCGTCGAACTTACTTCAAAGTAGTCATAAAAAATAAATTCCTTACTGAATATGTTATCCTTAATATACCTGATATTAAATCATATTGTATGCTGTGTATATACTGGTTTCCTTTTCTTTACAGTATAAGAAGCGCAAGAAGTTGATCGAGGAACAGCGCCGTCTGGAGGCAGAATACAAGAGAGAGGAAGATCGTCTACTGGACGAATTTCAGAATGAGAGAAAGCAGGAAAAGCGCCGTCTGTCGGCGGAACTGCAACATGAATGGGAGTCCAGACTGAAAGAATTAACGGAAAAATTTGATAAAGAATTTGGACAAAAGAAGAAAAAGATGAAGGACAGCGAAAGAAAGGTATTTATATTGATATGAAATTAAAAAATGTACAAAAAAAAAAAACCGGTATCGTTTGCAAGAAGTAGTTTGGGATATATTTGTGCATATTTAAAATTAAGAATGCCAGGTGCTCCCCACTTTATAAAAGATTAAAACATGATGAATATATATGTACATGTATTAAATATTTTGGTTTTAAAAATTTTGACCTTTTTTTCAAGGGGCTTTGTATGTTGATTTCTGCTTTCAGCAGTGTTTTCAAAGTTCAAACCTTCACATTTGACATGAAGCATAAAATAATCAAGCCATGATAGACAATTGTTCATTAACCTCGATTTCCACACAAGCATCTTTTTGAATTGCATACAAAACATATTTTAAACTTTTGATATAGAAATAGAATTTCAATTTCCATTGTTTTTATTTTTTTTTTTAGCAAATGACGATACACTTTGAGAACAAGAAGAGAGAGATAGAAGTCGTCATTCAGGAGAAAAAGAAGAAGAAGCAGGAGACGATGACACTGAGGCTGAAGGAGAAGGAACAAAAGAAAACAGCGACGATGGTGGCGCGACAGAGTCGTCAGATGTTGGAAATACTGGCTCAGAAACAGGACGAACTCAAACAGGAACTAAAGCAGGAAATGGCCGCCGAATCTGTGAGTAAAACTTCACAGGGTTATAAAGTACCCTCAGTGAAATCACGTGATAAGCGCAGCACTAATTATCATTCAAGAAGAGGGGGGGGGTTATAAAGAAGTACTAACCTAACTTAAAATTTTCATGCATCTTTATATTTATTTTTATTTTGGGTCTTTCTACTTCATGTAAATAGCCAGTGGTCCAAATTATTACACGCTGATATTTTCTGAAGACAAGTCTTGTAGATTTTCTATTACCAAGTTATTAAAACTTTATTATGCTCTAACTTTCTCTTAATTAGCTATTTAGTGATCTTATCACTTTTGTTAAAGAGAGAATATATTGTTAATATAGAAAGTGGAAGGGGGAACACCTAACGGAGAGACAGAAGAAATAGAGGAAGCGATGGAGGCCTTGGAGATTATCCCTGTCGCCCCCACAGAAATTCCCTCACCCCACCCCCCATCCTGCAGGAAGAAAGACCTGTACGTGGACCCCTCACAGTTCAATGACATTGATGAACAAACAATTAAGGTCAGTATACTAAACGGTTGTTTTATATCATTTGTATGTTGCAATTAGACAATTCAGGTAATCTGGATTAGAATTAATTGTAAAGTTTGAAAACACATTTTTCTACCACAGGTTGCAGAGAATGAACAGCCGACGTACACAGATTTGGTTCAACAGCTGACAGAAAACCTGGTCACGGATTTGGAGAAGGCCAGGTAAGATCGCTCAGGTTTGGTGACCAAAAATAGGCCGACATTAGAGGAACTAGATGTACACTTAATGTCCTTAATAAATCACACACATCTACTTATCTTAATGGAGTGATGGCGGAGGATTTCTATAGTGACGGATTGGAATCCTTTTCAGATTGGCCAGATCAAAATAGACTTTTAAATTGAAAATATGATTGCTGATTGAAAATAAAAGTATTTATATCAGGGAATCATTATTTAGACGGGAAGCCTAACAGATACTGATTCTATGCTGGACACTTAAACTATACTACACTCACTTCACTAATGAAGTGATTTTAATGTTTGCCATTCCGATACTGATACAAAAGATGGCAGTAGTGGTGAGAAGGATACAACAAAATTCATTACAACTTACAAAAATTATATTTCAAAGACAAAATTTCTTTGATATAGAGAGGGAAGGTCTGGTGGTAATTCTCAGATCTCACAGAAAATTATTGAGAGTGTTCGAGAGGTTTTGTTCAACTCACACAAGTATGTAATACTAGTTTTAATCTTGGCAGGAGTGATGTAAACACATGAAGACAATTAACTTTCGGTGCAATCTAGAACTGCATGTCGTGGTCAAGGGATTCAATATAATGTTAAGCATAATGCTTATTTCAGGGCGATCTACCGCTGGGTTACGGTGAAAGATTTAAATGTGATGGAATTTGAGGAGAGTATTGAGACTGACACGCCAATGGGACTCCTCAGGGGAATTAAATACGGGACAGAGACGTACCACGTGCTCTTCATGAGGCTTTGCAGGTAAATGAGATCTGAAGAAAGTTCCGGTCTATTTTTTCTCAATTTGAGTTGTATAGTTTATTTTTAGATTGTAGACATACAGAGTTAAAAAGAAAGGAATGAGGCTAAATTTCCTATATTAGAAGTGAAGATTTTCAACAATGTTAAAAAAGTGTCTTAAATTAAAAACAATTGTCGGAGGAATGAACAAGATTGAGACATTGATTCAAATAACTCGTATTTTATTCTGAACACTTTCTTTCATAATGTCTATTTTTAGTTACGCAGGTCTCCATTGTGAGGAGATCAAAGGACATTCCAAAAGCGTGGGATATGAGCCGGGGATGAAGATCAAACCCGATCAGTTCCAGAATACTTGGAATGCCGTGCTCATCGACGGGGACTGGAGGCTGGTGCAGTGTAACTGGGGAGCGAGGTAAAATTATTTTATAGAATGTAGACTACACTGTAAAAAATGCGCTTAGAAAATAAACACTTCCATTACGTGTTTTGACCTAAACATGTATAAGATTGTGTTTAACGGCTAAACACTTAGGTTGTGTTAGATTGTGTTTAACGGCTAAACACTTATATCTAAACATGTGTTATATCTAAATGATGTTAAGATTTAACACATGTTTAGATATAAGTGTTTAGAAATTGAACACTTTTCTGTGAAGTGCAGAGTTATCTTCCCGGAAATGACGCATATATATTCGAATGATAAATAGAGCGGTTATCGAAACAAAGGAAATCCCAATGTTAGCTAAAGAAGATGGATTAAAGGAAGTGAATGCTAATCAAAGTGATAACCATGAAGAGATTGTGAAATGCATTTAAACTGCAACATTACTCCGATAAAAGGTATGTTAACTATTATTTTTATTTTACATAAATTGACCATGATGGGCTACGTAAATAGACATGCGTTTGCACATGTAGCTGTAGATCAAGATTACCTTCGGTTATATTTTGTATTCCTGAAATCTAGAAAGGAGTACATTATATCTATAGAATATCAATAATATCTATAACAGTATCAATACTAAATAGTGGTTATATAGACGAGGTTCAATAAAAGTAGCACAATAATAGCTATCAAACATGTAAAAAAAAAAAGGTTCATTCAAATCCAGCCATTGAAAAGCATATTTTGATAAAATTTGAATTTCTTTCTTACAGGATATGGTCCACATCGAACTTGAAAGCAAAAATACACGTATCAGAGAAACTGTTGCCATCTCCAAGTCCACAATGACTTGCCATCGTTCTTACATTATTCAACACTTCTTACTTTTTGGGGAAACTGAGTTTTGTGAAGTCTGCTGTTCGTTATAGCTTTGAACAACCTAAAAATATTCTCAAATAATGACAGTGGATTACCTACTGACGGTCACAGATGAAAACAAATTATGCGTGTGTTGCTCAGTGAAAAATTGCTGGAAGTTAAACTTGATACAGACATGAGCAATAACTGCTTGCTAATCTGGTTAGAATTAAAACCAGCGTGTAAAAATTTAATGTATATTTAATTTAAAATTCTTTATAAAAAATCCATGTTTGAATGTTCATTGAATAAAATTTAAAATGTAAACACTTGTTATTTTTTCAGTTTTCTTGCAGGAAGACAACGAAAACATCCAAGTGTTTAATTTGTAAACATGTATCATAACATGTTTTGTAAAGTGTTTAAAGTCTAAACATGTAAGTGTTTAGGGTCTAAACACTTTCCGTTACACGTAATGAAATTAAATGTGTTTAGAATTTCAACGCATCAAAAAAAGTGTGACAAGAAAGTGCTTAGGAAAGTGTCTATCATCTAAACACATTTTTTACAGTGTAAACGCGGTAACATAAACATTTTTGGATTAAGATAACACTGCACTATATTTGTTGCTGTGAGAAGTAAAATTATGATTTTAAGAAAAGGGAAATTGCCAATTCTACGCAGACTGCTCTAAATCGAATATGTAAACTTTTTCGGGTATTGTAATGATTTGTGAAAGAGACATTTTGGCATGGACATTATCTATTTTTTTTCAGACACTTGGTGCTCAACAAAGACAAGAAGAGTAAGGACAAACCCAAACCCAAGTCAAAGGACCAGATCCGCTATCAGTATGACGAGCACTACTTCCTGACAGACCCGGACGAGTTCATCCAAGAATTCTGGGCCGCGGATCAAAAATGGCAGCTTCTAGAAAGCCCCATTACTCTAGAGGAATTCGAAGCACTTCCGTTCGTCCGCTCTATCTTCTTCCACTACGGCATGAGGTTTGAGAAGAGCTTGACCGCCGTGTTAGAAACCTCAGAGAAGGGAGGGACTGAAGTCAAGATAAAAATCCCAGAAGAATTCGAGAATGATCTGGTGTTTTATTATCAGATGAGATACGCAGACAAAGAGAAAAGACAGGAGGCAACATACAAAGGAGCGAATCTGGAGAGATTCGTGTTTCAGACCATGTTAGACAATACCGTCATGTTCAGTATACACGTCCCGGCGGTGGGGGAATATTTCTTTGAAGTGTTTGCAAATAAAATTGAAGAAAGCAGTAGACTTATAAACGCTGAGGAGACCACGGGTACATCTATTTCTCCCTTCAGACTAAAGTGTACATGTAAGTTCAAAGTCGTATGCAACTCACTTAGTGGTAAAATGTACCCTCTTCCCGACTGTGCATCAGGGGAATGGGGACCGAAAAAAGCCTACCGACATTTTGGATTAAAGGTGCTTCAAACAAGGCCAGGGAAATCCCCCAAATCTCGATCTTCACCAGATTCTAGTGAAGGGGATAGGATGTCAGATAGTGGAAGCTCTTCTGGGGACGATCCTCCAGAAAACCCCAAGGCCGGAATCCTGAACGTGGATGATACCCTCGATATCAAATTGAAAATGCCACGCCCTCTGCACGTGGTCGCTAAACTTAAGATGAACAATGTGGATACAAAGACCCTGGATACTTTTATATCCACAAAAGTAGAGAAAGACATCATTCATATCACGGGGACTCTTCCCCAGGTCGGACAGTACGGACTGGATATTTACGGACGTCCCAAAGAGGCGGGGGAAAACACCACCTTGTCTCACGCCATGAAGTACCTCATCAACTGCCTTAAAGTAGCAAACCCAGTAGAACTTCCTAAAACTATAGAAAAACAGCAGTCGACAATAAAGAAGGAAAAATGGGGGCCGCAGCCGACATTTGAGTCTTTGGGTATTAAAGCAGTAAGCCCGAAAGACCCAAAGATAACACTGACTGATGTAAACACGTGCACGATAGAAATTCAGGTTCCGGATGACGTCATTGTAACACACCAGTTTTTCCGAGAACCAGATACAGACGTCAAGGACAACATCGCCAAGCTGCCAGAAAAAGGCGGGACAATCAAGTATCACATAGATCTCCCACAAACCGGAAACTACATGCTGAGCTTGTTTGGGCGACGGAAGGAGGAGGACGAGATGCCGAATATTTATAACTACCTGATCGTCTACAGAAAGCCGGGGGATACAAATGGTCCCCAGCAGAAGGAGGAGAGAAGGGGGTCATCCATATTCAAAAAGGGGTTCTTCAAGAAAAGTGAGAAAAAGTAAAACTATTTCATCCGTCACGTGAGCATTTACTACTACACAACAATCAATGATGCTGCCATTTATACGATGCAATGAGCATTGCTGAGCCGCGTTTGCACTTCAGAGCAACGTGTCTTGTGAATTGAAATTCGGTATTATTTTTCATTTATTACGATTATAAACATATATTCGAACATATATTAATTTGTTTTTTTTTTAAATTGTTATATACATGTATACAAATTTGTGTAAGCGTCTTCTTTCTCTCCAAACAAAGCCAAAAACTTTGGTTTCTCTTTCACTTAACTTTGTGTCGGCTGACGGTGCCTTGCTTGACCGGCGTAAAGAACGATAACTCGATTTCAAAGGACGAAAGATACTTAGTCCAGTAACTCGGTATCAGCCGGAAGATATTATAACAGCAAACCAGTGTGATATTAACCCTGTAATGTGATATGTACTCGATATTATGCTGGATCAGACACAGACCTCTGCATTTTTATCATTGTTTTCTAAACATTTCAGGGTAGAAATGAAACTGAATCATTAATATCATTAAATTCAACTCAATATGTCCTACCAAATTGGTGCCATACATTCAGGATCCTTAGTTTCGAAAAGAGTTTGACGAATGGCTTGACCTTTGATGTTTACAAAAATGTGCTTTACTCTATTTTATGCTTTTCCTAACATCCTACAAGTGCCTGAAACAGCACATATCGCGGATTTTGAATTTTTCTTTTGTTTTGTCCTTTTCGTTTATTGTACCAAAGCGACCTAATATTAATTGTGTTATATTTAATATATTTTGTGTTATATATTTCCATTGGAAGTAAAACATTTTTGTTTAATCACACAGAATAAAAGCATTAAAATCGTCCTGTTGATTTATGGTTTTTATTTTCTTATTCTCCAAATGATGGGACTGTGATGGGAGCAAAATCGGTTGAGCGGTCACTGCATGAAATAATCCTTTCACTATTCATGGAGAAAACAATTATGGCTAACATTTATTATGAAAAATGTCCATAAATATTTGTCGACTTAGCAATAGATAAAATATGAGCTACAGGACGACAATCATGTAATTTTGCTTCAATTAAAGCTTATAAAAAGTTCGTCCAACGCAAATATGAATGACAGAAGTTTATAAATGTTCTATTTATCAGTTAATTACAAATTTTCAACAAAATTTTCTCATGTCAAACTTGCAGCTCATATTGCTTTAACAAAAAATCAAAGCGTTCAAAATAAGTCTTTTCAAGGATTTACCTTAATATACAAATTGTCCAAATATAGACTCTTTAATCAATGTATGCTGTATCTCATTCTTACCTGAACGAAGAAAATCATCAATTTTTTTTAATATTTTTGGAATGAATATGACAAAACACTTGTAAAATTTGGTGATATACAGAGCAAAACACTTGTTTTGTAAATATTTTGTATTTTTCTATTTTTGTTATTTCACTTCTTTTATAAACGTTTTCTAACAAAAAAAGAAACCAAATATATTTTGCTTCCGTAATCTTTTTCTATGCTTAATAATCTTGGTTTTCACCACGATCGATCGGAATTCAACCAGATATCTTGCAGGTTTCCTTTCTGTTTTTAAAACATCCTTCTCTTAATCTTCCTTCTACCACATTTCCCTGTTTCTCTTAGAATGACTAAAAAATCGAGCTCCCCCTACCTCAAAATGGTGCAAACATGTGTTGAAATAAATGTTCGGAAAAAAAAAATTAAAATAGAGAAGAATGTATCCCCACCAAATATTTGTCTTACAATGTGAAAGATATCGGTCATTATTCACCTCCATGTATCATTTCAAATCAAGGTCAGTGAGGCGAACATGATAATCGTTCCTTTTTTATTCAAACGATATATCCTTTTATTATATACCCATCAATTTCCTTGTTTTTGTTACTGTTAATTTTACAGAGTTTGATCCGATTTTCCGATTTTCCGAATCACCACACTGTGGTTTTCTGAATCACCACTCTCTGAAACTGATGACGTAGTACGCAAAAACATGACGTTATTTTTCTTGCGCGTGAAAAAGTCCCTTGTTATTATGCTTTGTTTTATGGATAAATATTAAACAATTGATCTCTAAAGTTTTATTCTGCTATATTTAGCTAGTTATAAGGGGGTATATAATAAATTTATCATTCGTTGACAGGCGCGGATCTTCAGATCAAACTCGACGCTTCGCGTCTCGTTAGATCTGATGATCCGCGCCTGTCAACTCGACGTGATACGACCCTTCGGATCAAGTTACTGTTATAATAATATATTTACTGAATTTTAGCCTGTTTAAAGTGGTACATGTAGTAAATGAAATACGGGGAACATAAAAAATTACGGTAGATGTAGCAACAAATTCAGAGAACTGTGATGGCCACCCGCTTTCATAGTCTTATTGGTTGTAATGCAACGATCTATGCCATATTGTAATGGTCTTGTTTTTCCTATTTGGACGATTTATAATGCTTAAAGGCTAAAATAAAAAATATTAACAATTTAAGGAGTTTTACTTATTGTCTTATCTTTTTAAAAACTCAGAGATGACTATCGATTCCGGCTCTATAAATCGGAGGGCAGACAAAATCGTGACACAAATATTAGAAGTTTTGTTGGAACAGTCATGATTTCATTAAAAATACATCAATTTATTTTTACAAGATATAGAAAAAGACTACTGATGCGATTAATCTGTCTGTCTGTCTGTCTGTTTGTCTGTATGTTCTAATGAAATTGTAACGTCGATCGTTTGCACATTTTTCGACTCCAAGTATTTGTCTCTTCGTTTCGTCACTTCCATTTTTTATTTCCTCAATGACAACTATCATAGAAAAGTTTTTAAAACGCATAAATCAGTGCCTAGCTTCTTCTTTGACAAAGGGTGACAGAATTTAAACTTTTAAAAATTAATTTTAATTGAATCTCTAACATTTACTACAATTGCTGATGGATTACAATGGAACTAGCGGTAAGTACCAGTGATTAAAGCATATTTGATATGAAGATATTCTAATTAATAAAATTAATACTAATTCTTGAAGTAATAATTATTGCAATACTTTTTGCATCATGAATATTCAGTCTATTTGAGAGAGAGAGAGAAAAAAAAGACACGCTGCATGTAGATGTTCTAACCCTAACCCAAATGCTGACTGACGTCTTTTATACTTATTGTTAGGCCATTATGTACACACAGAATTGTCGATGGATATTCCGTTATTTTATAATGATAACCAGGAGCACACGGTGGATGTGACCGGTTGGCAGGGGATGCTCACTCCTTCATGGTACCTGATCCCATCTCTGATGTTTTAGAGGCCCGTGTTTCGCTGCTCCTGATTTTTATTGTTTCTGTGGCAGATTTTGTCCTGTTACAAGCTAGGGGGGGGGGGTTGATTTAAATTAAGAAAACTAATGGAATTCTATCGCAAATAGTCTTTTCAAGATTGCTAACAAAGAAGTCAAAGCCTTGGTTAAAAACTAGTAAGGTTTAATGATCCCTTTCAAAGGTGGATAATAGATAAATTAGATAGCCATGGAACTCCTAAATTAAAATAATGAAGTAAACATGCATTTTATTTTGTTTCACAGTTCCGAGAAGGGTTGCATGGATAGACACAAATAACAGTACAGAGTATCATGACGTGACAACCTCGATTATGCTCAGAAAAGAAAAACCCTACAAGGTTCTCTCTGACCCCGGGAGAAGCGCCGTCACCGTCTCCCTCCACCTACCCTCAGGGGTCAGCGATATAGCGGTAACGCTAAACCACTGTTCCACATCTGATGAAGTGCGGATTTATTTTCAAGTGAATTCTGAGTTTCTGTATAGAAGTTATCATGTTGCCAGCTCGGATGATTTCAGCGAGCATACATTTCGAGTTCCATTGAATACGATAAAAATTGGGAACAACAAAATGGTCCTAGGCCTGAACGAGGGAAGTCAAGGGGAATATTTGTTGTCTGATCTAAATATAAGAACTGGTATGTTTAGAAGTTACATGTAATATGTATAGCATTTGAATAAAGAAAACTCGATATAAAATTATATGAAAGGGTTAAAGGCGCCTGGACAGAGATTTGAAGTACATATTTTCTGATTTTTAGTTTCAGTGACTGATATGGCACCCCAAAGAACTTTATTTGGTAATATTTACATTTGCAAATTTTTCCTTTATATAACACTACTAAAAGCAATGCGTATCTATAACTGTATAAATACAGTTTGGGGGTCAAGAGGTCATAGATGTGCGTATAGATAATCGTTCGACGTAATTTCTCAGTGACGTCATAAAGGGTCGACGCGCGTTCAGTGGATAACATACATGCCGTTGGGTTTGAAAAAATAATGCATTTCACGCGTTAAAAGTCACAATCAGGTAAATATAAAGTATGAATTAGTCACAAATGTAAATATAAGTAATAAGGTATCATTTTAAAACATCTATCGGGCTATAAATACGGGTTGGTACGAGATTAAATTCATCATAAAGCCCTTCGGGCTTTATGGAATTTAATCTCGTGACCAACCCCCCCCTTAAATAACCAATATTTGCCCCCCCCCCCCAAATCAAACTTTGATGGAGATATATTCAATTAAGTTCTTAAACAGGGGAGTATATGCGGACTTCAAAGCACTGAATATTTTCATAAGTAATGACGCCATATGTGCGTATTGACGTCACAAACATGACGTAAATTTCAGTTTTTATGAATTTTACAGAAAAATGTACATATTTCGTCGATATTTTGAGTAAAAGTCACCGAGCGCATTGTGTGTTCAGGATCAATATTTTGATATAATGTGTAGAATGATAATATCAATGAAATATATCAATATTGTTTCTGAACAAAATTGCGCTCTATAAATTTTAAAGCTAAAATTGTTGAAATTTTGTCCATTTTGCCTTCTTTCTGAAAAGGGATATAAAATCGGACTATAGTTTGTGACGTCAAAAAAAAAAAATTGTGAATACACTGCTTTGACACTATAATATTTTCTGTTAATTTATATTTCTCATACAATTTATTGAATTCAGCACATTTCAGGAAGTTTTAATCAAAATTTGACTTTTGTGGGGGCAAATATATGCAAAATACCGCATATAGTTCTTTACAAAAATGAGCTAAACATAGTTTCACAGTTGATAAACTAGGTTTATTGACTGTAAACTATAGTTTACAAACCGTGAACTATAGTTTACAATTCCTTAACTATAGTTTTCATCTGTAAAGCTATATTTAATAGTTATAAACTACATATGTATAGTTTACAAAATGCTAATCTAAGTTTATCTGTCTGTAATAAAACTTTAACGATAGATTTTGTTGATAAACATAGATTCACCTCTGTAAACTATAATTTACAATCGTGAACTATGGTTAAGAGTTGTTAATCATAGTTTCACAAATCGTGAAACTATATATATATTTATCAGATCGTTCACTATAGTAAAGAGTTGTAAACCATAAACTATGTTTATCTCATTTTTGTGAATTTGGTGTGCCATATATATATAATTAATTTCTTTCAGTTGTTGAATCTGAAACTTTGTTGAAAACAACTAACACGAGGTTGATGGAATTGATCGAGGCGGATGAGGCCCGCGATGTGGAGGGAAGATTATGTAAAATCCTCAAAACTCCGGGAGAGAGCGCTGCCATCTTCATTTTCCACTTGCCTACAGGCCATCAGCAAGTCCAGCTCATGAATGTGACCTTGAACGGGTGTGGCAGTAGCGAGATGATCGACATTCTTGTGAATTGGGAGGTACTGGTAGAGAAATACTCGGTTGTTAACTCGGGTCACTCAGACGAACAATCGTTCAGCATTCCAGTGAAAATGTTAAGAGCTGGGACGTACAACAGGCTGGTCATCAGACTGAATAAGGAGAGCAGGGAATCCTACTGGCTGCCTCATCTTATCATATTCTACTCAGGTACAATTTAGAGAGAGGTTTTAGAATTTTAATATAAAGAACTAAATTGTAACTTGGAATAACTGGCTAGAATAAATAAACCTGTAGGAACGAAAACAGTGTATATACCAGCTACCTTTTTGAAAAAAATGACGTAATGTGAAAGGTGAAGAAAAGCAATCGATAATAAAGTACAAATATGTATAGATGACATAAAGCATTGATTCCTGGAAATTTCAGAGGTGGGATCAGGTGCGTATGAGGAGTAAGCATCCCCTCTTGACGGGTCACGCCCCCAATCCCCCCCCCCCCCCCGGGCCTTGAGCCCTATACATGTATATTGATCAGGTAGACTTTCTGTAGTCTGTTCAATATAAAAACAAAGGTCTAACAATCAGTATGAAACACGTCAGTCAATATACAGTGAGGTTATATTCGCTAACAAGGTCATTATATAGCGGCCATAGGATTTACTAATATGTATAAGATGATTTTAAACGAGGCTGTTGGAATCCCGTAACTTATCTGTGAGTAGCCAGACTCGCTTTAGATATAAAACCTATTTCAGAGCAAGCTCTCAAGTAGTGAAAAAATTGGGAGACACGATGGGTGTGACCGGTCGGCAGGGGATTCTCACTCCTCCATGGTACCTGATCCCACCTCTGATGTTTTGGAGGTCCGTATTTGCTCTGCTCCTATTTTGTATTGTTCTATGGACCTTTGGTCTTGAATACTGTTCCTTATCTCCATATGTTTCATACGAAAGCCTATTAGGATCAATCTAGAGAGAAAAAAAAATAAAAAGGCGGTATAACGCCTTTTGAAAAGGCGTAATAACGCGAAAAAAGGCGTTATTACGCCTTTCCATTCCAAAAGGCGTTATAATGCCTTTTTAAAAGGCGTTATAACGCCTTTCTAAAAGGCGTTATTACGCCTTTCCATTCTAGAAGGCGTTATTACGCCTTTCCAAAAGGCGTTATTACGCCTTCCCATTCTAGAAGGCGTTATTACGCCTTTCCAAAAGGCGTTATTACGCCTTTCTAAAAGGCGTTATTACGCCTTTCTAAAAGGTATTATTATGCCTTTACAAAAAAGTTATTATGCTTTTTGAATAACCATTAATTTGCATTTAACAGGCCCGTGCTTTTAATAGCCCCCCCCCCCCCCCCCCACACACACACACACTCCACTAACCAAATTCGTGGGGGAAATACTCGGTAAAAATTTATTTAAATGCAATAATTTGTCACAGTTTTACATACTGCAACAAAATGTTCAGGAACAAAGAAACCAATAGTTAATTATAATATTTAAACTATAGCAAGACTTTTCCTCAAAAGTGTGTATGTTTGGAGGGGGTTTACCCCATTCGCACTTGTATTACTGGCCTACATGAAAAGGAAAAGGAAAAGACGTTATCTTATGTTAATTAATATAGAAAGATTTTATTAAAACCATCTTTATTTATGCAATTCTCTATATTCCTGCACATCTCACTGACAACTGTTTGCATTCGTATTAAGAGAAGGCAACACTCTACTTGTGAAGATCTAGAATATAGGCAGACTTATCTTGGAGCTTTGCTTGCCATGTACAGTGTATTAAAATTTATGTCTTTGAAGATATTTTTCTCTTTTCTTGGAAAAAAGCAGGCAACTATTTGCATGGGTATAATGAGCAATTGAAATCAATGACCCTTGGTAGAGGTGTGCCTGGTATGAAAGAAGGACTTAGTTGGTTCAACATTGAAAATATATGACGCATTTAAAAATCTTTTTTCCTGGAAATCTAATTGCTATCTGTTTAAATTATTTTTTGAGAAATTAGTCCTATATCTAATTGTGAAATTCATGTCCCAAAGGTACGATTTCTGCATACACCCCCCTTCGGTGGGGCTAAATATGTTTAGTTATGTATTGAAAGTAAAAGGCGTAATAACGACTTTTTGGAAAGGCGTATTAACGCCTTTTAGAAAGGCGTAATAACGCCTTTTGGAAAGGCATGATTACGCCTTTTGGATGGCGTAATAACGCCTTTTAAAAAGGCTTAATAACGCTTTTTGGAATGGAAAGGCGTAATAACGCCTTTTCAAAAGGCGTTATAATTGCCTTTTTTCGCGTTATTACGCCTTTTCGAAAGGGTTATAACGCCTATTAAATTTTTTTTCTCTCTAGATTGATCCTAATAGGCTTTCGTAATTTCATACACAAGAGCAGGTGATATTGAAAATTATTATGCTTCCTGTCAGTTTGGCTCTATATAACCCATACCCTACTATTCTCGCATAGTGTTCTAAGGATTTATAGAGCGTAACCGTACTATGCCGAAATAGTGCACGGCTTCCATTTTTGAGGAAAATCCGACAACACCCATACCGGGGAGCGAACTCACGACCCCGAGATTGTCAGTCCGACGCGCTACCGATTATGCCACAGACGCCCTTATCTATAGTCTCGTACTATAATATATATAAACTTAGTTTCAAATATTTTATAATTAAAATTAAAAATAAACAAGCAAATTCAAAGAATTGGGGTCCCCCGCTCTCGGTGTCTTTGTGGGTGCGATGTTATTTTTATAACATATTGTGTGTAATGTGAACATCTTATCATATTTCATTTATTTAGAAAGTAACATTGAAGTTTATTTTTTTTAAGGATGAAAACCCTAATCCTGACCGTTAAAAAGTTATGGAGAAGTAAAAAAAAATTTAAAGTAGGTCAACTTCAAGGTCAAGATCAAAGGGTCAAAGTTGTTGATATCTAATGAAAGGTTTTCTCACAAGAATAACATATGTGAAGTATGAAAGCCTTAGCCCTTACTGTTCAAAAGTTATGGTCAAGGTTAAAGTTTTTTCATAAGTACGTAAATCTTTAAGGTCAAGGTCAAAAGGTCAAAGTTGTTGATATCCAATGAAAGGACTTGCCACAACGAATACATATGTGAAATATAAAAATCCTAGTATCCACCGTTCAAAACTTGTGACCAAAGTTAAAGTTTTTTTTAAAAAGTTTTTAAAAAAACTCCAATGTCAAAGTCAAAGGGTAAAAGTTGTTGGCATCCAATCAAAGGTCTTCTCAAAATAATTGCATATGTGAAGTACGAAAGCCCTAGCCCTCACCGTTCAAAAGTTATGGTCAAGGTTAAAGTTTTTTCATAAGTACGTAAATCTTTAAGGTCAAGGTCAAAAGGTCAAAGTTGTTGATATCCAATGAAAGGACTTGCCACAAAGAATACATATGTGAAATATAAAAATCCTAGTTCCACTGTTCAAAACTTGTGACCAAAGTTAAAGTTTTTTTAAAAAAGTTGTTAAAAAAACTCCAAAGTCAAAGAGTAAAAGTTGTTGGCATCCAATCAAAGGTCTTCTCAAAATAATTACATATGTGAAGTACGAAAGCCCTAGCCCTCACCGTTCAAAAGTTATGGTCAAGGTTAAAGTTTTTTCATAAGTACGTAAATCTCCAAGGTCAAGGTCAAAAGGTCAAGGTTGTTGGTATCCAATGAAATGTCTTGCCACAAGGAATACATATGTGAAATATAAAAGTCATGGTATCCACTGTTTAAAAGTTGTGACCAAGGTTTAAGTTTTTAAAAAGTAGTTAAAACTCCAAGGTCAAGGTCAAAGGGTAAAAGTTGTTGGTATCCAATCAAAGGTCTTCTCACAAGGATTACATATGTGAAGTACGAAAGCCTTAGTCCTCACTGTTCAAAAGTTATGGTCAAGGTTAAAGTTTTTTCATAAGTACGTAAATCTCCAAGGTCAAGGTCAAAAGGTCAAGGTTGTTGTTATCCAATGAAAGGTCTTGCCACGAACAATGAATATGTGAAATATGAAAGTCCTAGTACCTACTATTCAAAAGTTATGGCCAAAGTAAAAGTTTGGAATTTTTGTGTAAAAGTATGTCAAACTCCAAGGTCAAGGTCAAAAGGTCAAATTTGGTGGTACCCAAAGAAAGGTCTTGTCACAAGGAATACACATGTGAAATATGAAAGTCATAGCTCCACTAAATCAAAAGTTATGGGCAAGGTTAAAGTTTTTGTGACGGACAGACTGACAGACTGACCGACTGACAGACTGACGGACAGACGGACAGACAGACAGACGAATGAGATTTAATGTCCCCTCGCTTTCGCGAAAGCGGGGGACAACAAAATAATTCTTCTAAAATAGTTTCTTGCAACTCCCCTTCCTTCACTCAAATAATATTCTCTAAAACTATCTGTAGATTATACCTAAAGCATGGAACGTTCAAAATTAAAGAAAAATACTATGACGTACATGTTGCATAATAGAGTAGACGAATGTTACAGGTGATGAAACATTGGGAATGAAGAAAATATTGCCGTTTTTATACAGTAACAACAGTCAGCATAATAATAACAATAGTGTTTGTTTTGCGTGCACTATGCCTAAATAGTAGTCAGGGTTTGACACATAGTGCACTCGCCTCCGGCTCGTGCACCATGTGTCAAACCCTGACTACTATTTAGGCATAGTGCACGCAAAACACAACACTAAATTATATAAATAACTACGAAATTAGGAAAACCGATGATGGAAAAGTTGAAGTCATCTCGGCTGTCTTACAAAGTGTTTTTCCTCTTTTTGTGTAGAGGTTTTTGTTATAATTTTGCTTCATATGAATATAAAAACAGGTCGGCTACAAAAGGAGCCCAATTAGTGCCCATCGGAACAGTTTGTAAGAAAACATGGTCTCCGTAGACTATATATAAATGTTGTCAATGAGAAAATAATTATATAATACACTGTTAAAAAGTCAGAATTATCATGATTCTCTACCGCACCAGTTCCTCATGGCTCCTCTTTCCATCAATTTTGCCAATCTACAATGATAAATATATAAATTTTTTTCAAACCGTAATAATTCTCAAATAGACTGCAGCTTCCTTCATCCGAAAATCTTCCTTTTTTCAGTTGTGACTAATGATATCTGGATCGACACAAATAACTCGGAAAAGTATATTGAACTGGAAACATCAGAAGATTACAGAAATGGGAGACCATACAAAATTTTTTCGACACCGAAAAGAAGTAAGGCGCATTTTATGATCCACTTACCAGACAACAGACCCGCCCAGGAAGTGACGTTGACATTAAACCATTGTAAAACAACTTGTGGCGGATCCATTGATATTCTGGTGAATGGTAAGGAACACCTGATGAATTACGATGGCGCCTGGTGGAAGGACTTTCAGGAGCAAACTTTTCCTATCCCTAAGAAAATACTGAAAGCTGGAGTAAACGTGTTAACAGTGAGACTTAATGAAGGAAGTAGAGGAGTTTACTGGTTATCTGATGTCAAAATAGAATATTGAGAATACCATTCGCTTTCAAGCATTTCTACGACGATTTCAAAAAGTTTTGCATATTTTGATTAACTCTTTGCAACTAACACAATTGTTTAGAAACATACCTTTAATGTTCACGTTATAGAAATACATATTTACCATTTCCCCGCAAGCACTCTATAGCATAGTACGTCAAGTTTCTCTAAAGTTAAGCGTAAATAATATTATGACATAATATTTTAATAAGAAAATAACTTTTCTTATTTTATGAGCATCTAGCAAGTATAAATTAGAAAAAAAAAATTGGCAATAAATTGAAGATTAAATGAACTTTTAAAAGTGCGTAAAAATGTGTGATTGCGGGAAAATGGTATATGCGTGATTTTACGTTAGAAATAGGAAATGGTATATGCGTGACTGCGGGGAAGGGTGTTAATAATTTTTTTCTGATTTAAAATTTACCTAATAAAATATGGTATTTTGTTATAAAAGCATAATAGTATCGTGAAAAAAGCTTTTGTTTGTCAAAAGGTGTAAACATATAAATGCACATAAAACTAGTTTTAATTGTAACGGGGACCGTTACAGATGTTCCCCAAACGCTCCCCAAATCCCTTTTTTGTGCCACTTTCCTGCAAGACATTTTTAAAATATGATCAGTACCAAGGGATTTTATATAAGAATTATTTAAGCTACAATGATACTGACTATATGTTATTTAACTTATTGCACGCGCACGCACGTGCATGCAAATGCAAGATGATCATGGCATGTTGTCTAAACTATAAACATTTCTTAATGTAAGAATCAAAAAGAAAAATCATAAAAATATAAATGTTACCATTTTTCAAATATATTGGTCATTTTGCGTATTGTGCGCGTGCACGTGCATGCATGCATGTCCTTGCATTCAATTCTGATAGTAGCATAATGTAGTAATCTATCCATATTCTAAATTTCATATCCCGTTCTGTTGAGAACCAAGAAAGTTATAGGCATTTAAAGTTTCAGCCAATCAGATTGCAGCACATGTGCATGCGCATGCTTTTATGATACTTATTATATATCATGCTGTAGATATTTATAATGTTTGACTATGTTCAAAATTTCAAAGGATTTTGTCAAAAAACAAGAAAGATATTGAGACTTTAGTTTCAGCCAATCAGAGCGAAGCGCACGTGCATGCGCGTGAGATCTTGCTATTTTGACCATGGCATCATCTCTATACCACTAATATATCCTCACATTATGAGTTTCAAAGCATTTCATCAAAAAATAGAAAAGTTGCGGCTATATCTATTATATTGGTCATTTCACGTGTTGCACGTGCGCGCTCTTGCAAGCACGTGCGCGCAAAATGACGTTGATTCCGCAAATCTACATAACATGTCTACTGACCCTAAAAAGGTTTTACCTACATCGGACGAACAGTTTTCAAGATCATTCCCGGACAAAAAAGTACATAGGAAGAAGAAGAAGAAGAAAAAAAATAATAATAAGAAACAGAGTAAAAACAATATGTTCCCCAACTTCGTTTGGGGAACATAATAAATCTGAAATGGTACCGATATACTTGAATTGTAATCAATAACTGATAAGGAATAATGTAATATAAGAAGAAAAACTAATTATGATTCGCTACTGAAAAATTTATCTATTTAAAAAGACTTAACAATGGTTAGAATGCAAATGTTCCCGTTGTTCTCTTTTGTTGTTCCTGGGAGGTATACCCTCTTGCAAACCATAGTAAAACAATTGTAACCGGAAATAGAACTCTTTAGTGTATAAATTACCAAAGTTACTAGCCAACTTAGCTTAAAGGAGTAAACTATCTCCAGTTATCAATGATCAACCCAGGTAAGGGGATTTCTGAACTATGGTCAACGCGAAATGAAAACACAGTTGTAAGCTTTATCAATTTAATAAAGTGAGAATTAACCGTTGTAAATGATAACAAATGATAAATAATGTCTTATGATCAAAATTTAACAAACAGAAAGTCTTTGAAAATTGCATAGGATTAATAAAGCTTTATCAAAAATGTAATTTAATCTGGTAAGTGAATCACAATAATCTCAATGAATAATCTCAATAAATAAAAAAGTCGTTGTTGAAAAATGAAATAGAAAATGAGAGGAATGTGGAAAACTATGAAGAGTAATTTATGTCCCTATTGAGCTCCCATACTTATGAAAATGGTTAAAAATCCTCAAGAGATGAAAAAAAGATGTAAAGGGAATGAGCTACATCACCCAATATGACTACTATCAACACTCTAGAGTTGAACTGAAAATATCAATGCTAATTCTAGGCTCTAAAAATAACTCACCCAGAAAATAATCAACACCCAAAAATAAATAGTGGTTCTAGAAAATAAACCTGTTATCTACATATCCCTAGACCAGGCAGGACTTAATTGGAAAGGGGAAACTTAATGTACTTTAAATAACCTACATCCTAATTGTTTCCTAACATGTGAAAAACGTGAAACTAAATCTAAGCTAAGACCTAGAGAATTGTTAAACCATGAGGTTTTCTTAGCCCGCTAAGTATATAATCAAATAGTGCTCATAAACCATGAGGTTTTCTTAGCACAGAAATGAGGAACGAACCATGAGATTGTGTTCCCCAACCCAAGTGAAGAAAACTACACGAGCACGGGTTTAAATACCCTAGCTAGGCCCAAAATAAAAGCCAATGACTATCAAAGACCCTAAGCTAAGTTAACCAATCAGAACACAGCTTTCAAAAGTACTACGGAAAGACTGCCAGCATGGATGACACTTCCTGTTTAAAAAGTAAAACATGTGGAATGTCAACTCATGTCCTAACTTATAAAAGACAAATAAAAAAGGACTTTATATGGAACTCATAAATTTACTTACCTCGTCACTGGTCATTTGCAAAATTATTTTGTTAAAACAGATTCTGATGCACACATAAGTACTCTGAAGTTGACATCAAGAAGATGCTTGAGTTTCTGATTGACAATATCTATGTGGTTTTTGGAGACCAGGTATTCCAACAAACTATTGGAATTCCCATGGGTACAAATGTGCTCCGTTATTAGCAGACTTATTTTTATATTCATATGAAGCAGAATTTATACAAAATCTTATGCGTGAAAAGAAGAAAACACTTGCTGTGGCCTTCAACTCGACATTTAGATATATCGACGACCTATTCTCAAATAATAATGATAATTTCCATTCCTACGTCGATACGATATATCCTGGTGAGCTTGAGATAAAAGATACCACAGAGTCCGACACTTCTGCCTCATTTTTGGATATTTTACTAAAAGACACTAATGGTTATCTAACAACCAAGCTATATGATAAACGTGATGACTTTAACTTTTCTATCGTCAACTTCCCTTACTTATGCAGCAATATACCTTCATCACCTGCATACGGAGTATATATATCTCAGTTGATTCGATACGCAAGAGCATGCTCTACGTATGAACAATTTCTTAAACCAGGTAAATTATTGACAAGCAAGTTGATGAAACAAGAATATAAGCAGTCAGTGCGGATCCAGCAGTCTCGCAACTGTCATGGTCTAGAATCTTGCTTCATCGCGATCGTTCGTCTCAGGCACAACACATGGTCCTTGCATACAAACATAGTACTCTAGCTCTTCAGTATCGTCTACTTCTAAAGACATCAGCTGTAAACTTGTGCGAGAAATTGAATAACAAGGATTATAAAAGTATTAAAACAAATCAATCATATCATCAATGGAAGTTTTGAAGTCAATATATCTCTATGAAAAATAACTTTAAAATTAAAATCTTAAATTCTAAGACTTTAAATAATATCTGAATGAATATGGAAAGTTAATCAATATAGTTATCTACCAAATTCAGAATCCACTGAATTAATGTGACCAAGTAATTACATATTTTAATTCATATATTTATTTAGGCTAATACCGTACTCACTTTTGTTAACTTATTTCTTATTCGATTATTGAATTTAGTGTGTATGATTCTAATATTTTGTAAAGGCTTTTGTCGAACACTCTTTGTAATCTCATTCCTGACTGGCGTATTTTTAAAATCAACTCAATCCACTTGCGCAGTAGGTCTGGGTATAAATACTCATGTTCGATTGAAATTACTTGTCCCGCCAGCCAGTTTTTCAAGGTCACACTTCTCGAGGCCGTGCTGTCCGTAAAGGTATTTGCTATTGAAATGCTTTTCTTTTTTCATAACTTGTTATTTTTTCTCATAATTTATTATTTTCATTCTATTTTGTTATAATTTATGTATATTCTTTTTATAGACACATGCCATTGTCGTTTGTTGCTGTTTAATAAAGATTTAATCTAAACGTGACCTGGTCTTGTTACTGCTCGGTTACATTAAAACCAAAATGTTATCAAGTAGCGCGCAAATACTTATATTGCATTGCTGAGCCGCGTTTGCACTTCAAGGCATTAACGCGTTTTGTAAATTGAATTCGGTATTATTTTTCATTTATGACAATTATAAACATATATATTCGAACATATATTCATTTGTTTTTCTGAAATTGTTATATACATGTGTAGTGGTCCTGGAGGAGCTGGGGACGAATTCCCCTGTAGCCTCCGATCACGTGTCCTGCAATGATGCGGACTGTGACGTAACACTCTCTCTCTCTCTCTTGTGTTGGATGCAGTCCCGACAAGACGTGTTTATCTAATCTCTGTAAGTCATTGTGATATTGTGTATATTATTGGCGACCACTAGCTAAGTAAAGTGCGGAATATTTACCATAGTTGTTTCTCTGTATCCGCCATCACAGTCATGTAGGAGAGAAACACTATATTGACGCTGCGACCCAGGGTTATTTGTCTGGGCAGCGGGGTGCCGGCCTAGCACATGTTAGCTAGTGCCGTCTCCATCTTGGATTTTTAGTACCTTTTTATTATGTAATGTAATTATATAAGGTTAAAGTTTCTTTCGTATTTTGTACATTGTTATATGTTCTTAGCGGATTAGCCGCGAGATATTTCTATGTGGTTTTAATAAACAGGTTGGGTCTTTGGAGACAAATATGGGGGGCCAATTAAGTAATATTACGCAAATATTGGCTGGATTAATGAAGGCTAGTCAGCCTCAGTCACCCCCGCCCATGCAGGATATTAAAGTCAGTCAGTCAGTTGTGACTAGTAGCCAGGGGAGTCCTTGGGT